TCAAAGAGCGAAGGGGCCAAAGGAAAACCAGTATCGGCTGAGAATCCGCTGCACGCCAGGGACTTGCTTCTCTCTACATTAATCCTCCACAATTCTCACAACAACCCCGTGATTTTACAAACAGGGAAACGAAAGCTCACTAATTCATACAAATCCAAATCACTGATAAGGAGTGAAGAAGCCAGGCAATGCAGGTTCCAAAGCTCATTTCACAATCCCTGCTTCCCAGAAACGCTAGGAAAACAAGCGAGCTAAGAGGCGGCCACCGGCCAGGCCAGGCATTCGACTCCTCCTTCTCCCCCCCTTCTCAACCTGCTTCTCCTCAGTTCCTACTACAAGCAGCATTTGGCACACAATTTTAGAAAACTTGAGACCAATCAAATCCACCTTCCCACAAGCCAGCTAGCTGGGGTGGATGGCCTGTTAGAGGAGACCTTCCAAGAGGAGATTGGTGGGAGCGCAAGAAAATAGTACAAAGACTACAAGAGCGACTGAACCTTGAATACAAGAAAGGGGAAGAGAGAGCTGGCCCTCCAGAGATCCTTCCAGTGGCCAGTCTTCAAAAGCAATTATGAATACGAAGCCAAGTTCACTTACTCAACTGAGTGCCGAGCGCATGCTGCCACTGGGAATACGACAAGGAAAACTCACATGGTCTCCGTCCTCCCAGGAATTTATATCCCGGTGTTCTGAAGGGAACGGAATGGAGGGGGATCTCACTTGCTAAGCACCTCATTTTGCTAAGCACCAAGCATGTTAAAAATAGTACCTCATTTAATGTAATCCTCTCAACAACCCTAGGAAGAAGGTATTATTATCCCCTGAAGCACAGAGATGTTAATTTTCTCCACAAAACCCTTTTCACTAGCCCAGACCTTCTGACAATTCTGAGTAGCTAAGCCTACTGGAAATAGCGCCTTCCCCAGGGCTGAATATAGACTGGCTCAAAATCTGTTCTATTTCAATGTCTTTAGCATCTAACACTTCAGGGTTTACAGACGAATTAGATGAAGTTAGCTGAAATACCAAGATGAGTGGCAATGAACGAGGTTTACAAAAACTATTACAAATATAATCTCAGAAACCTGAGGGGGAGGGAGTGGGAAAAGACAGTGTAAATAACCAAAGTAACACACACAGCAACAAAAAGTAAAAACTAAACCCAGATAAAAGACACTAGTTCATATAAGAAGTGAATTTTTTTAAAAAGATCCTTAAGACATGGATTAATCAGCTTAGAAGGAATTACCATCCAGCTAGTTACATTATACCATGGCAATAGCTCATGAGAGGGCCTGATGCTTCTGATTAGCTAAAGAGGAAGAAGGAAACCGGAGACACTGACGCCACTCCAATGAAAAGGAACTTACGCAGACACACTAGGGAGATTTCTATCATTTTAAATTTTACATGTGCTCTCAAAGCTGAAGGGTTTCCTATTACTGACCAGATAGCACTGGTGAGTGAATGGTAGGTTTATTTATATCCTCCATAAAGAATTCTAATAATTCCCACTACTCTCATCTTTCTTGTATTATTGACAATTAAAATGATAAAACTGCCAGCAGCACCATTCTTGGAAAGGTATATGGAAGGAAGAAACACATTTTCATTTGAAAACGAGCACCATTTGCTTCCTAAAAGTAGAATTAAAAAGCAGTGGCTTATTGTTAAATCTGGGTGCCCACACCCCCAAAACTTTAAAGATCCCTTTCAATTTAAGTCAGTTGGGAAAAATTTTGGAGTTATGCCATCATTACCAGGATATTATTTCACTCAACCTTCCTTTGTTTGCAGATTCAGCTTTGGAAGGACTCTCAAAAGGCAGAGTAATAGGTGGAAAATATTCAGCTAATACTTCATACGGAAAAACAATTTTAAAAGCCCACACCCTGCTCACTGAAAAACTCAAGTACAGAAATACAACTCCAAGAAAGGAAGTTTAAGAGATGTCACAGACTCAAGGAAATCAAACTGTATCTTCAAGTGAGTGAGGAAAAGCATGTCAGCAGTCAGAGAAAATAAGTAAGAGTGATAATGCAGTCTGCTTTTTGCCTCTCCCTTCCCTACCGTTTCCAATGTCAAAGTTTCTAAAAAGAAACTTTTTAGACTCTGTTAATAGAAAAAGATCTGGACTTGGAACTATGAAGACCGAATAAGACTTCATTTAACAAATATTTAATGAATGACTCTAACTTTCAGGCCTTGAATACACAGCAGGAAACAAGAGACAGACAAACCGGATACCTCACACAGGAATCGGTGAAAAGCACCCGCTTAACCTCTCGGAGCCTGATTTCATCTGTTAAACTAGGGAAGTGGACCACGTGTTCTTCAGACTGCGTTCCAAGAACACCAGGACCTCCACCTCTGCTTTAACCACAACAGCTCTGCTTTTTCCTGATTTCTCTATCAAAGCTCTATACCCAATTTCCTTTGGGAAAACAAATCTGTTTTTAAAGACGTTTGCTAACCACTGCAGTAAGTGATCTCTAGGAAGCCCTCTTCTGTGATGTTTCTGACTCCTTCTACCCTCTTTCTCTCTCGACGTAGGGAGTTCCATAGAGATACATTAAAAGGCAAACTAGTTTACAAGTAGGGCTGAAGAGTAAAGCACAAACCCACATGACTGCTTAATCGTTACCTAGAGAGGCCAACCCATGTAGCAAAAATTATTTTCTTCTAAGATTAGCAAATAAAACAAAAACAGATTTGACCTTGTTATTTCTCTACTTCCTTCCACAAAAAACGAACCGAGAAAACTGACCCTAGTTCGTTATCTTAATTTCCAAATTCCTCAGCATGACAGTTAAGGCCCTTCTGCAACCCGGCCCCTTTGAAGAACAAGTGCTCTTTTTCACTTCAATGTCTTGGGTTTTCCCTACCACCCAGAACCCTTTTGGCCTCTTGACTGCTTAGTTTCTAAACTTCGAGACTTTCGTTCTTGCTGTAACCTCCGCCTTAAGATAGCCTTGTCCTCCCCTCCTACCTTTCAAATCCCTCAAGGTCATAACCAACTCTCATGTCACCAAAATACAAGTCAATTTAGGAGAAAGACAGGGATTCTATCTTATCTACTAATCCTGACAGCTAACTGGTAAGTATGCAACAAATGCTGAAATGAATTGATTGCATTAAAGGAAGGTCATGATTACAAACAGTAGAAGTTAAGCATCTTCTATATTTGGCTTCTAAATGTATTAATTGATCTGTTCTTCAGATTTTACATTCTGATTACAACTGATATCCTGGCATTTCTTGAGCATTCACAAAATTTGCAAGGCTAAGATAAATATTCGCCACTTTAAAAATTGTTCACTAAGACAACGCACATTTAGAAAATCAACAAAAGACACCATCCTTGGATCACTTTAAACATGGGCTTACAATATTCTAAAAGACTTAGGATCTCTTCCTAAATTATCACGTTCTAGTTCCTTCAAACACAAAGCTATTTTAAAAACGAAACAGAAAGAAGAATTTATATTAAGTTTACAGGAACAAAAACTGCTCACAAATAATATCTTTACGTATGTTCAGGACAAGAGTACACATTCAAAACCCCATAAACAATGCCTACTGGAAGTAAAGCATGTAATATGAACAAGTACAGCTGGTCCAAAAGATATTAAAGCCAAGCCATCACTTTTGACTTATGAAAAAAATTCAACCTCTGATTCTCAGGATAAACGATAAACTTCACGTTGGAAAAGCATCAGCTATAAAAATTAGATGTTGGCTGGAGTGATTTACAAAGTCCCGTAAATTTCCATTAACAAACCGGATAAAATAGGTCAGGGCGACCATCAAGAGTACCTGTACAGTTTTGTTCTCTTGCAAACACAGGACAGACCTATTCTTCTCACGTCAAGTCAACTCCTTTCGGGGGTTCCCATCTGAAACATCATCAAGTCCACAGAGAGAGGCCCCTCGCCCGCCCCACCCGCGGCCACGCGAACGCAGGGCCCGGAGCCGGCCGTTTCGCCGGGGCTCGTGCACACCGGCCGCCCAGCCCTCGCTGCGAGAGCCGGTCCCGCGGCCCGCGCGGCTCCGTGGGAAGGCGCTGCCCCGGGCGCGGCCGCCTCGGGCCGGCTCCGCACGCCTGCCAGCGCAGCTGCGGGGCAAGCAGACGGAAAGGTCTGGGTCCCGATCCGCCCGGCACCTGCTCCCTCGCCCATGGCACCAGCGCCCTGCAAGCGCGGGGCCGCACCGGGTCGGGGCTCCGGGTCCCCGCGCGCGGCCCCTGCCCGGCGGTAAACTTGCGCACCAACTTCGGGCCCTCGGCGGCGGCGCGCTCGGGGCCTCGGCAGCCCCGCGGCCTCCCCGGGCCCCGGCCCTGCCCGCGCGCCGCGGCCTCGCCTTCCGCCGGGGCTCCGCCAGGGCCGCTCGGCAGCCCGCCGCGCCCCCGGACGGGGACCGGCCTGGGCCGCGGCACCCCGCGCTCCCGGCCCGGCCGCGGTCCGTCAACCGCCCGCCCCGCTCTCCCGGGGCCCCCGCTGGCCCCGGCCCGGCGCCCACACCCCACCCCGGCCCGCCGCGCAGGCCGCCCGCCGCGCTAGGCCCCGCGCCAAGCCCGCCTCACCGTTCTGCTGCGGCGGCGCCGGGCCCGGGCCCGCGGGCGCCGCGGCTCCTGAGGCGCGGCCCCGCCGAGCCTGGGCGGGATGCGGGCGCTGGCGGCCGGACGCGGGGAGCCGGCGGGGGCCGACATGACGGCGCGGCGGCGGCGGCGGCTGCGCCTCGGGAGGTGGGCGGGGGAAGGGAGGCGGGGCGGGGCGGCGAGAGGAAGAGGAAGGAGCGCGGCCGCGTCACCGGGGCCGTCCGCGCCCCGCCTGAGGTGCCCGCGCCCCTCCGCGGAGCGCGGCCGGCCGGCCGCCCGGCTCACCCGCCGGCCCCGCTCGGCGCCCCGGCCCCGGCCCCGGCCCCGGCCCCGGCCCCGAGCCGCCTGCGCCCCGGCCCTCCCCGCACGCGCGGCCTCGCCGCCGCCGCCGCGCCCCCTGCAGGCCGGCCCTGGGCTCCGGGCGGGCGGAGGGACGGGCCGCAGCCGGAGGGGGCCGCACCCGGGCGAGGCTGGACGCCGGCGGCCAGGGCCTGGGCCCCGCCGGGCCGGGAGGGGACATCCGGAGCCCACGGCGACGCCAGGCCGTCCGCCCCCGCCCCCTTCCTCCGGAGGACCTCTGCGCTTGGCTTTGTTTTCTAATCTTTATCCCCCACCCCCCCCATATTAATTCCAAAGGAAATAGGGCTTTCAAGCTCCCTGTCGGTAGGAAATTATAATCCTGGGCAAAGGAAGAGGAAACGTTCCTCTATGATCAACACCATCTCAGTGAGAACTGTGTTCTGCGCAAGCTGTCCCACCGACCGCATCGGGGCTGGGGGAGGGGGAAGATGGAGTAAGGAGGCCTGGAAGATGAGCCGCGTCTTCCTCGTGCTTTTTGCCCAGGGTTGGCTCGTCCTCTTGGTGTTCAGAGGAGGAGCTGTAGCATCCAGAGCAAGAACTCGCTTGCTTTGTCCGCGTTGGTGAAATCTTTGGCTCGCTGGCCTGTCCCGGCCTGCTAACTGGCAAGCAAACCCTGGACCGGTTACCCAAGTCTTCTTGGAGTCCTGAGGATGCCAGTCATTCTGTGTTAGCAGTGCAATTGCTCAAGAACGTGGAGTTCAGAATGGGCTCTAACAGGGTATTTCTGGAGCGATGTCTAATTTGCTGAGTGATTATGCAAAGCATAAAGTGTGCTGTGGTCCTGGGAATAATGCAACACTTCCCTTTAGTTGTTGTGGTGAATTAATGATACTTGTGATCCTGAACGTCTTACTCACAAAGGCATGTGCCCATGCGCGATAAGCCAAACCCTGAGACGTGCTTGGAGGTGGAGAACGGTTTATTGGAACTGGCCAAATTGAGGAGGAGGGTGGATAGGTTTTCTCAAATCCGCCAAAACAAGAGAAGAAAGCAGGGGATTTTATAGCACTAAGGGGCTTGGAAGGAGGAGTTTCGCAGAAACAAAGGGGAAATCTGTGTTTCTTTCACTCCAGACAAGCTCTTGGGCAATCTGACTTCTGGGATCAGTGGCGTCTAGAGGCTGGTTATCTGGCGATCGTAACTTCCTTGAAGGTGTTCTGTTTCTTCTGGAAAACAAGCCCATAAATCCTTGTGACCCTTGAGTCACCCCTCAGGTTAAACAAGAAAACAGCAAGTTAACAAGATTAATTTCTTTTCATCTGTCTGTGTTGGGAACATGGTTGAAGGGTAATTATATTTATTATTGAATATTTACAGTAACCCTCGGGTACCAGCCTCACTGGGTGCTTTCCTGCCCCAAATGAACTACAATTAGGATTTTACAAATAGTAGTTGGATTTGTACTTTTGAATTTTAAGATTTCCAACATATTTCATATACACAAAAGGGGCAAGCCCTTTTCCACAACGTTTCCAACTTCTTCACAGAAGCCTAAGCCCCATGTGACCAAAAGCTCATACTCTGCTTCGTCAAGGAGATCACACAGTTACAGCTGCCAACACCTCCCGGGAGTCCTTTGAAAAATGGCTCAGAAAAAGGCTCTGGATTCAGGGCCGCCATTATGAAGGAAAGGGAAAAACCAGGCAGTTGGCTTTCTGTCCCTAAAAGGTATCCTCTGAAAAGAAATTTTCACATTTTGAGGTATATAGGGTAGCTACTCTGGTTTAAAATTCATTCATTTGGCCTGACCTAAAGAAGCCTGATTTATGGCCTATGGAACATACATTGTACATCTCCTTTAACCATTAAAGGATGCATTAAACATTATCTCAAAAGAACACACTCTTTGAAGATAAGAGTGCATACTTCCCCTCCTACATCACCAGTATCAGTAATGAGTATCAGTACTCCTAAAGATAGGTTCCCTTTCCCCGACATCAGGGTCATGAACCACTAATTTGCAACTGAATACTTCTTTGAAACTTTGCTGCACGTGTATCCTGGGCGTGTTTGAGGTATGTTGTTTGTTCTAAAAAGGTGTAAAACTGTACTGAAAACCAAGCTTCTCTTGAACACTTTCTTCCTTTGTGGAGACTGCCTTCCTGGATTATGGTCCTCAGCGTGGCTCAGGTAAAGCTCACCTTATCTGTCTTATCTATAAAATGGTTCTTGGTTATTTGCGTTGACACCTCTGGGTGTAAGGTGCCTATTTTAATCAGAGGTATATGGAATGAAGGTGAGCCTGTCTCATTCGGGGAGCCTCCTAAAGGGGAGGACTGGGACTCTGTGTTTTAACAGGTCTTCCCCACAATCTTTATCACCTAAGCTGCTTCCACTTGTCTGCTAATTCACCATAGTATTTTCTAGCAGGTTTATAAGAATTTTTTGCATGACATCCTACAACCTTTATGAAAATGTTACTTCACTCTATTGCTTTAAGTTCCATGACTGCTGTCAGTGAAGAAAAGTAGGAAAAGGATGAAGGATTGATGAATACTTACCATGTACCAGGCGCTGTGTTAGTCCCTTTAGATATATTTTTTCCAGTTAGTCCTCACAATAATTCTATGGGATATTTTTCTTATCCCTATTTTATCAGAGGAAACTAAAGCTTATAGAGTTCAAGTAATCTTAGTAAAATTCATGAGCCTGTAAATAGCAGAACCAGAGATCAAATCAGGGTCTATTTAGCTCCAAAATCTTTGCTCTATTCAGTGTAAACTATACTTGGTTAATTTACATTTTTCTTCATAAAGCTATGCTAATTATGACATACTGTTTTGCGTGTCAAAGGATTTTTAGTTTTACATATTTAGAATTTGTTCCAGTATTCTTTAGAATGGTGGATCTCAAAGTGTTTGAAATGCAAATTCTCAGGTCCTACCCTAGACCTACTGAATGCTGGAGATGGAACCCACCAGCTAGCTCTCTGGTTATTCTGACGCACAGGAAAATCTGAGAACCACTGTTTTGAATAACAAAGTTAAGCTGAATTGGTTTATTCCTTGTACGTTGGGAGATGACTGTCCTTTTCTTCAGGACGTCTCTCCCATCCTTTGCCAATCGTGAAAATGATAGATTGTAGATATTTAATTACAGTGCCAGGAATGCCAAATGTGGTAGTGTCAATTCTGGTTATTTGCTCGGCAGTGTTGAGGCAAATGCTGAGGCCAAGTCTGTGTTCAGTGGGAAAGAGTCTTTAGCTGAAATTAAGCCCTGCCACAGGTGCAGGAGGTAAATTTTTGCTGAGAGTCAAGTTCTGACACATGCGCCGTAGTTTGACACCCCCAGCTTAACAACTCATATTCTCTCTAACAGAAGTTGTGGGAGCCTTGCACAACTGAACACCTATCTCTCTCTCAAAAGGCGATAGTCCAGTTTTTCTCTGTTGCTGCCTGGCTTCCCATCTTCCTCAGCCAGTCTTTTTATTCTCTAGTTTTAAAATCACATTTGGTCTTCGTAGAACATACGTTTTCTCTTTTAGTGACATTCTCTTTTAGGTGTCCCCCTCCCAATAAGAAGATGCAATTTTCTTCTTTCTCCTCCTTTATCTAATGTATTCACACATTTATAGCATTTTTAGTAGGCTAGGTGTTAGGAATACAAAGATTAATAGGATATAATCTGTCCCCAAAGATCCTATGCAGGATCTTTTACATATATTCCTACTCACTTTCTTATGTTTCAATTTCTTGATTTTTTTTTCCTACGAACTTTCTGTATTATTTTTTCTTACATTCCTTCTGAATCATTTCTTCTTTTCATCACGGCATTCTAAGTTGATTTCCACCACTCATATTGTGATAGGAAGAAATAATTTCACTGACATTGTATCATTTGATCGGTTACATCAGTGTCATTTAACTATCATTTTATTCTCAACTGTCTAAGACACAAATAAGATCCTAAAAGAGAAAAAAGGGATGGAATTATTAGGCAGATAATTACTATATAGTTAGCCTGTGCACAAAAGAGCATGTACTTACAGGAAATTATGTTGAGTTCTCACTTATAATATCTGGCTATTATTTTAGATATCCTGTAATTCCTATGGTTATCCGCTTACCCAGCCCACAGCAGGTTAGGAAGGAAATGCTGTTCATACTGGCACCTTGAGAGCAACAATCACTGTTAGCTGGCTGAATAAGTACAGGAAAGACAAAATCGGAAAAATGGAAGAAATGAAAATGCACAGCAGTCTGAGGCAATTAGTTAAATCGAACAACCCTATACATTCCTCTGGGAATACGATAAACACAGCGCACAAGTCTGCCATCTGAGAATTTCTAGCCAGGTATTCTGAAGGGGATTTCCTGAGCGCCTACTATGTAACCTGAAAGCTCTTTAGGGCATCTCTATATTTATGCAGATATTCACAGCTTTGGCCACCAATTACCAAGAAAAAGTAAATTATACTCTACACTCTGTTTCAGAAGACAACCCGCTTCAAGAACCTTAGAAACTCTTCTACATATGAACAGATTAGGTTCCCAAAGCTCCATAAGTCTCAATATTCACAAGTCCAGAGTAAGTAGGGGTGTTTACCCTCCTAGGCCACACATGCGTTTCTACCAAACAGAAAGGTGAGCCAGTTCTTTAAAGCTTTAGAATCAGGCTTACGCTGCTTTTTTTTTGCTGGTATAAGGTGTAAAGTGGTGCCTCTCAAACCTTAATGTGCATTTGAAGATCTTGTTAAAAGGCAGATTCTGATGTGGTAGGTTTGGGAAGGCCGGAGATTCTGCCTTTCTAACAAGCTCCCAGGTGATGCTGATGCTGCTGGTCCATGAACCAGCACTTTGAGTAGCAGGTTCCAAAGGGCATCTTTTCGTTTACATTTGAAAGTCCATTGAGGGCATCAAGGAATGCCCCTCCTTGATGATCCTAAGGGAACCTCTTAACAGCTGCAGTGTATTCCCACCTGCTACCACGTGTGTTGATGTGGTGCAGATTAAAATGTGCCTGGCATTTCTCTGGCTTTCTATAGCAGCAGCACTTTCTCAGGCCTTCAAGATACTGAACTGTCTCCCAATGGGTTAATGGGTGCATGATGTCGACACAGATCATCTTGCCACACCTTCAACAGTTTCCGTTTTGTCAATTACTTTTTCTCTTGCTGATTATTGTTTGTAGAAAATGGTGTATTAGCTCAGGCCGCCATAACAAAATACTGTAGACTGGCGGCTTAAACGACAGACATTTATTTCCTCACAGCTCTGGAGGCTGGAGGTCTAGGATGAGGTGCCAGCAGGGGCCGGTTCTGGTGAGGCTCTCTTCCTGATTGCAGACCACCGCCTCCTCACTGTGTCCTCCCACAGCAGGGAGAGAGCTCCCTGGTCTCTCTTCTTACAAGGGCGCCAGTTCTGTCAGATCAGGGCTGCACACTGCCGACCTCATGTAACCTCCGTGGCCCCCTCAAAGGCCCTGTCTCCAGTACAGTCATATGGGGGCTTAGGGCTTCATAGGAATTTAGGGGACACAATCCAGTCCACAGCAAATAGCATTTTTGCAATGGCATGATTCACTGTCAACCCTTCAGAATTCTTCCTACTTTCAAATGGTTTGTCCTATTGTACTTTATATTTAATTATGTTTTCACCTTTAGTTTTTCTTTTTCTTTTTTTCTTTTTAAACATTGGCCCTGAGCTAACATCTGTTGCCAATCTTCTTTTGTTTCCTTCTTCTCCCCAAAGCCCCCAGTACATAGTTGTATATTCTAGCTGTGGGTCCTTTTGGTTCTGCTATGTGGCACGCCACCTCAGCGTGGCTTGAGGAGCAGTGCTAGGTCCACGCTCAAGATCCAAACCGACAAAACCCTGGGCCACCAAGCAGAGTGTGCATGCACACTTAATCACTTGGCCACTGGGTGGGCCTTGAGTTTTCATTTTTAAATCTCTGTTTTTATTATCTTCTTCAAATTCATTTTATTCAAAATACCTTCAAAATTCTCTCTGCTATTTCGTTGACATAAATTTTGGTATTAATATTTATAAAATACATTTTAAAAATATACTCATTATAGGTTTCAAATTAATAAGAAGATGACCGAGATCAGAACTTCCCAACCGACGTACCAGCGCACACTGTGGGCGGCAGAACCTTAGAAGATGCGCCACAGTGTCAATCCTCCTCAGATGCTGGGACAGCTGAGGGGCCTTCTGGGGATCCCCAGGCTAGTCTCCTTTGGCTACAACACCTTTGCTTATTTACCCCACAAAAATACTCTATTTTCTAGCTGTGCTGTGACATGGAGAGGCTGGGAGCACTGCCCTTGACGAACGTTACTGTGCAGGATGTTCACTGCCATCTGCTGGGAGCAGGCGAAGTTGACATACTGTTACTCCAGAAGGTAGATTTACTTTTCTTTGTGAAACTATGTAAGTTAGAATATCATAAGAAGGAATGTTTCTGTATTACAGAGGATTTAGTTAATTTCTTTTTAAAATACTGGTTGAACGGATAAACTTCAATTACATGAAAAAAAAATCAATTGTGTGAAACACAATTCTCTCTTGAAAAAATGCCAGATTAAAAAAACGTCGTTGAACATACTCATTCAGTTAGAGAGGAGACAGTCTTTAATCCACTGTGATGGCAAGATGTTTAAAAAGCTTGCCGTATAAAAAATGTCCAGGAATTTGGGGGGTTTGGACTAGAGAAGATAAGACCATGGGAAAATGATAAGCTTCCTAAAATATTTGAAAGCTTTCTTCTGAAGCGTGGTAACTCTGTGGCTTCGGATGTCAGAGCAAGGACAAATGAGTTGACTTTTGAACCTGAGATACATTCAAGCACAAGATGCTGGGGTCCTGGAAAAGGTGTCCCCACGTTGGGCGGGAAGTTCAAGTTCACATGCTCTATATTCTCTCCCAATTCCAGATTCCATAACCGGCCATTCTGTTTGTCATTTGGATTTCATTTAGTTTGATATTTTCAATAATCACAAAAACTTTTATTAATACCCTTAAAGTCTTTAGAGGCGTATCCAACTATAATTCCAATAAAATTTAAATCTCTGTTATGGGCTGAATTGTGTCCCTTCATAATTCTTCTGTGGAAGTCCTAACCCCTAATAACTCAGAACGTGACTGTATTGGAAGATAGGACCTGTAAAGAGGTAATTAAGACAGAAGGAGGCCACATGTTTGGGCCCTCATCCTATGGCTGGCATCCTTATAAGAGGTGATTAGGACACAGACACATGCACAGAGGAAAGACCGTGTGAGGACACAGCGAGAAGGCAGCCATCTGCAAGCTGAGGAGAGAGGCCTCAGGAGAAACCAAACCTGGGAAGCCTCAACCTTGCGCTTCCAGCCTCCAGATCTGTGAGAAACACATTTCTATCGTGCAAGCCCCCAAGTCTGTGGCATTTCGTTATGGCAGCCCTCGAAAGCGAATGCACTGTCCTTCCTGTGGGGTCCTTCCTTTCAAGCACTGAAGGAGATTTTCTTTATTTTCTTGGTTCACAATCTCTTTCAAAAGATTTTCTCTTATAACAGCTTTCTTCTTCACCAATGAAAGTAGAAATCAAGTAGATTCCTGCACAAAGTTGCTATGTAAGTCCTTGTCACACTCCAGCAAATGTACTAACATCCCAGGGCTTACCCACAGGGGACTTGGTGTGGAAGAGCGTCATTTCAGACAGGAACTTCTCCTGTGAGCTTTTCTGCTTTTATTTATCTATCTATTTATTTATTTATTTTGAGGAAGATTAGCCCTGAGCTAACTGCTGCCAATCCTCCTCTTTTTGCTGAGGAAGACTGGCCCTGAGCTAACATCCATGCCCATCTTCCTCTACTTTACATGTGGGACGCCTACCACAGCATGGCATGCCAAGTAGTGCCATGTCCGCACCCGGGATCCAAACCTATGAATCCCGGGCCGTCGAAGTGGAATGTGAGAACTTAACCGCTGCGCCACCGGGCTGGCCCCTCTCCTTTTAAATATAACAAAGTGGGGAATGTCATTCCCCAGCAATTCTCTATGAGAAAAACCTTCAGGAAGAGAGAAATATACATTCTAGATGATGCCACATCTTCTCACCAAGAAGAGAAGGACTGGGAGGTCTCTGGCTGTCCTCTAAGTGTGGCTGGCATGCAGGGACACAAGAGTTGATGCCTTCTCACTTTTACACCAGGTGGGAAGAAAAAGTGAATGAAGTGGAAGCAAAATGGAGAGAATATCACGGCGGGACGGGGGATGGGAAGGGAAGAACGAGAGGGAGCTGTCACGAGCAGGGAACTGGAGAGAGGGGAGGTGTGCAGCGGTATTGCAGGAAGCTTGACTGTCTACTTTTTTCTGTGAAAGACCTTGATATTACATCTTTAAGGAAACATAATAAAGGTCTTTATTATTTATCAAAATTAGTCTCATTATCTTTGAATGAGAGTCCTCACTGACGCTGGATCACATGGTGCCAGTTGTAGATTGCATAAAGTTAACCCAAAAGGCAACTCACTCAGCCTCTCTGTTCTTTTTTTTTTTAAAAAAAAAAGATTGGCACCTGTACTAACGTCTGTTGCCAATCTTTTTTGTGGTTGTTGCTGTGGTTGTTTTTCTTCTTCTTCTCCACGAAGGCCTCTGGTACATGGTGGTATATTCTAGTTGTGAGTGCCTCTGGTTGTGCTTTGTGGGACACCGCCTCAACATGGACTGATGAGCACTGCCGTGTCCATGCCCAGGATCCTAACCAGTGAAAACCTGGGCCGCTGGAGTGGAGCACGCAAACTTAACCACTAGGCCATGGGGCGGCACCTCAGCCTCTCTGTTCTTATTTCCCAGATCTAGGAGATTTGTGATATATGAGTGATGTGGGGGTTTCCTGTTTACTTTCCAAGACAGAGTTCTTACTTTGTTTTCCATGGAACTGCAATGGATCTCTAAGTTATAAGGCTGAAACCAGCTCATATCAGCTATGTACTTTCTCCATTACTAAGGGTAGGAAAGTCAGTGGCCCTAGTGTCTGTTAGTTTTCCTCCTCAACTAAAGTTTGGAAAATGTGCTTTGGGACACTCTGGGCTTAGGTAACATTTCTTCTGTGTGTGTGTGTGTGTGTGTGTGTGTGTGTGTTTATATTGTTGTAGTCAGCCAGTTAGGCTAAAGCAACAAAATATTGTGATGGCTGCAAATACATGAGTTCTTTGCAGACACAAAATATAAAAATGTTGATAGTTAAATCTGCATGTATATAAGCAATAGGCATAGTCATAATTTTTTTTTAAAGATTGGCACCTGAGCTAACATTTGTTGCCAATCTTTAGTTGTTGTTGTTGTTTTCTTCTTCTTCTCCCGAAAGCCCTGTGCTACATAGCTGTATGTTCTAGTTGTGAGTGCCTCTGGCTCTGCTATGTGGGATGCTGCCTCAACGTGACCTGATGAGCAGTTCTAGGTTGGCACCCAGGATCCAAACCAGGGAAATCCTGGCCGCCGAAGTGGAGCACACAAACTTAACCACTTGGCCAGGGGGCCAGCCCCCAGGCATAGTCATAATTTTGTTGCAGGATCATGAAGCACAAATGATAAGAACAATATACAAATCACTATAATTAATAAGTCACATGTTCACGTTCAAAGTAAGGTAAAAGTTGCAGGTAAAAATAATAATTGTTGCCATTTTTTGAGCACCTATTTTTTTGCCAGGCGTTGTTTCAGGTACATTAATACATTATTTCCACAAAATAGTAGACTTTTAAAAAAATAATTCTACGGATGAGAAATCTGAAACTTGAAGTGATTATGAAACTCCCCCAAGATCCCAATTATCCAGATATTTCAGTGAGTGGGATGAGAAATGGGAAAAGTCATAGAAGAGGAAGGGAGGGTTGGCTGGAAAACTCCAGGATCCAGGTGCAAAGGGGGCTGATCAGTCTCCAGCAGCTGGTGATGTCCATTAAGAGGGTTTCCCCTTGTATGCCTTAGCTGGGTAAGAAAAAGTCTAAGATTTCAAGCATATTGAGGAATGCCACTTCTATCCCACCCCCCAACCCCGGCAAGAAGCTTCAATGAGCAAATTATTCACAACTTAAAAAAAAAGATATCTTAGCAAACTTTACCCAAGCAATGGTGTTCAGTACCATTTTGTTTCATTAAAAAAATCACCAGAGGGGCTGGCCTCATGGCCTAGTGATTAAGTTTGGCCCGCTCCACTTTGGCGGCCGTGGTTCGTGGTTCAGATCCTGGGCGTAGAATTACGCCACTTGTTAACCATGCTGTCTCAGCAACCCTCATACAAAATGGGGGAAGACTGGCACAGATGGTAGCTTAGGGCGAATCTTCCTCACACACACACAAAAATCACCAGAAAATGTAATCTAGGTAGATTACTAAAAACACTTTGTCATTGAGATATCTTTCTAAAAGTTTTTTTTTCAATTGGGCTTTTAAGAAAGTCCAATATCTGAGGCTCTAAAGTGCAACAGCCCTTTCCATTTAACAATTGTATTTAAAAACAGATTAGAAAGCCCTCCACTCACCCCATATCTTGACTGGTTTTCTTCTTTGTGGTATAAACTGTCAGTGGGCTTCCATCGCCATCTGGTGGACGATATGTAGATGTGCTCTGACTTGAGAAGACTACTGCGTGTGGAGAGAAATGATTCACGAGAAGAGTTTCTTATTCATGCAATTGATCTGAAAGGAATGCATGGGAAGATAGAAACTAAATGGATAAAAAATGGCTTATTTCTTGGTAATTAGAAAGAGGAATAATTTTTAGGTGTTGGATTACAAACTAGGATGATTGAGAACCAAAGTAATTAAAATATTCTTTAACTAATTCTGCTAGAATCCTTCAACTCCACACTCCATAGTATATAACTGCATAAACAACTCTAGCACCACGGGCCAACTTCAATAAAGATGTTTATCCAGAGATCTCGTTTGAAGGGACAGGAAGTTCTGTATCTACATCCATTTCCATTTCTACAACCCCACTCCTCCTTCACCTAAAATGTTAACAGTAAAGATCTACTGCCTTCTGATAAGATTGTCCTATTTCTTTTAATTTTAAAGTGCAGATAATCCTTATAGGGACAGCACATTCTTAAGGTGTCAGGGTGGAGATACAGTTGGGGAATGTGTGTGGCAGAGGAAATGCTGTCGGTAGTACTGGTCACCGAGTAGGCCCAGCTTTCTGCATCCAGCACGTGGTTCGATTGCTCTCGGTGGTCAGGTTGGCCATGGGACCCTTTCTGGTCAATGAGTTATGAGTGAAAATTTTAAAAGACCGTACAATTCTAGGAAGTAGTTAACAGTTGACAGTAAGTGGCAGAGTAGATTATAAAATTTAGTGTTTGTTGGTTATTTTTTGGTTAATTTCCTTTGTCCTTTTTCCATTAGTAAAACAAAGGAGACATTAAATACGCAGCTTGCTCAATGCCATCCTCTCTTATGACATATATATGGTAAGTAGTATGAGATGTAATAAAATATAATGAAATTAATTTTTTTCATACTTACCAGAACCTATTTAGCTACATAAATAAATGCTGCCTCTCAAAGCAGTCAGTTTGGGTAATGATATGCTGCTAGTACACAAAACTAGAAATCATAAGCCTCGTTGGTCCCCAGCCCCAGTGCCTTCACCTGCTGACTAGTCGTCACCAATCAGTGACCCAGTGCAGAGCAAGGCGGGAGCTGTCGAAGACCCTCCGCTCCATAAGTGGTCATATCTGATGTGACCAGAGATTAGTTCTAGGCCCTTCAGGTCCACCAAGTCACGTCAAAGCTGACCCTACCCCACCTACACTGGATTGCTCATGATTAAATTTAGGACCAGCCCTACAGTTGCACAGGATCGCCCCCTACACATATGGTTTCCTCCTTTTAAACCCTGACGGGTTCCTTCTGTCTAGTTCTTCAGTTTCTTTCCTAGCTCTACCCCCTACTCATCCATCCCCATGGTTGCAGGGATAACAGCCACTCTTTTGCTGCACAACCCTACAGTTGATTGGACCAGGAGCAGGCACTTGACACAAACTGGGTAAATCAAAGCCCCTTCACTCTTAATTTGAGACGGAACAAAATAATCCCATGTGAGTTTGGACTCCCTCTTGAATGGAGGAGGCCATCTTCACCCTCAGGGAATGCTTGTCAGCAGCATTTCCCTCCTCTGCCTTGTAGTTCCGTCATTGTTGTCAGGGAAGAAAAGAAAGGAGGAAAGGATGAAGGAGTGAATGAAGGATCCGGAGGACTGAAGCGGAGAGGAGGCACTGGAACTCCTGCTGGGGATGAAGGGCCTGATTCCAGCCCATTCCAGAGTTTCAATGGCTGTCCTAGTCCCTACTGTGAGAAACTACCGCCCTTCCTCTTTAAGCTAATTTTTTTCTTCTAGCCGGGTGTCTTTAAACGGATACCCCAAGGTTCTTACATGCCTCCTGATAAAGTCATAGAAGGAAGTGTCTTCAGAACCAGTTCATAAGCCAATCACAAACTCAGTTTTACTACATATTAATCAACTTTTATGAGTTTGGTATCATTTAATACAGCAAATATCCAGAAAATGCTTACTCTGTGCAATGCTCAGTGCTTGTCAATCATAGGAATGCAAAGGTTAGGAGGAGCTAATAGCTTCTTTGGGAGAGGAAACAACATACAAAATAATAATAGGTGAAAAATTCCATGGCAGAAGTATAAGTAAAGAGGCTTGGGACAGAGAAAAGAGTGATTTATTCAGATTTTTAGAAGAACTGTATTTATCAAATGGTGAAATGATAACAACATGCTGAGAAGTGTGTCATGATCTGGAGATACAGTGCAGAAAAAACATAATCTCTTAGTTTCAGGAGCTTGAATTTGGTCAAAAGGGTGAGTACATATGTATTTGGCAGCCAGAGGAGCTCCTAACTCTGTGTGGGGAGGCAGGGGGTTTGAGAAGCATCCAGAAGAGGAGATATCTAGACTGATCCTGAGAGGTATGAAGCTCACGTAGGATTAGAGGAGGATGGGTTAGAAGGAAAAGTCTCCTGGAGGAAATGGCTGTCCCTGCAGCACTGGACATTGACGCTGAGATTCTGGTGCTCCCCACTTTGTTTTTCCTCTTAGTATCTGGCTCCTTTTCAGTCTTCTTGGTCCTCAGGTCCCTTCCCTTCTCTTCTCTCACTCCCTTGCTAGTGATCCTGACCCTCTTAATCTCAGGTTCGTGTGCGATGGACACGTGCTTGGAGATGGAGAAAGGTTTCTTCACTTGGCCAAAAGGAGAAGGCAGCAGGGTAGGTTCTCTCAAATCCCCCTTTACAGAGAAAAAGCAGGGGTTTTATAGAGCTCAGCGGCTTGGAAGGAGGAGTTTCAGAGAAACAAAAGGGGAAATCCTTATTTCTTTCACTCCAGGCAAGCCTGTGAGCAATCTGACTTCTGGGTGTGAATGGCAGCTGGGGGCTGGTTATCTGGTGATCCTTGAAGGCATTCTTTATATACTGTAAAGCAAGTTCATATATCCTCGTGACCCTTGTGTCACCCCTCAGGTTAAAGAAGAAAATAGCAAATTGACACGATTAACTTTTTTTCATAACAAAGTTGAAAGGTAATCTTATTGGATATTTACAGTAACCCTCAGGTACCCAGCTTCACTGGGGTGTTTTAAGTAACAAGTGCATATCTTGAGACCCCAGCTGGGGTCAGTGAGTCCTGTTGACCAGCTGAGGTCTGTGCCCTCCATCAGGTTTCTCTGTCACCTTGTGGTGGGGCTGCTGTGGCTCATGTCCTCGTGTTCCATTGCCACCAGCAGGCTGCAGTTTCCAGTGGCAGCCACACCTCTCCTTGGAGGTCTGGTGGAGTAGGTTCTCTAAATTTTGAAATTTCCTTCCTTGTTCATTCTCCGTTGACTTTAGAGGTGGTAGCTGCCATCTGCTGTTGCTATTTCTGTACCCCTTAGAATCCTCTTCTATCTCTTTCAGTAGTTTACTACATGTCACTACTTAACAATTCTTCATATTAAACTTTCCTGTTTCAATAACTGGTGTGGTTTTCATCTCCTAATTGAACCCTGGCTGATATAATGAGGCACAGGGAGGAGTTGGGAATGATTCTGCAAAAAGCACAAACCAGAACATAAAAGAATTAAATAATTTGACTTCATGAAAATTAAAAATTTCTGTTCTTTGAAAGACACCATCAGGAAAATGAAAAAGTAGAAAGTATTTGCAATACATGTATCTGACAAGGGACTCCTAAAGAGATCCGTAAAGTATCTCAAAAATAAGAAGATTGTATCAGTTTGCTAGAGCTGCCTTAACAAAATTCCAAAGTCTAGCTGGCTTAAACAACAGAAATTTATTTTCTCACAGTTCTGGAGACTGGAAGTTCAGATCAAGATGTTGGCAGGTTCAGGGTCTTCTGAGGCTCCTGTTCTCGGCTTGCAGATGGCGTCTTTCTCTGTGTCCTCACGTGGTCTATCCTCGCAGGTGCACACAAGTGTGCCCAAATCTCCCCTTCCGATAAAAACCATCGAGACACTTGCAGATCGTCCCGTCAGAGCATCCTCTCTGTTGCAAGAGTCCCTCTCCTTCCATTGCAACAATCCTGTTACATAGTCTCTCCTGACCTGGCTCCAGATTTGTTTTATTTGACGTTTTCTTCATGCCTACCATTTGTTCAGCAGTGGAGCAATCTAGTAAGAATTAAGAAAGTAAATAGCCAATTACAAGCTAGAAAGGCATGTATAATGCAGGGCTTGCCACACCCACTGCAAAAGGAAAATGCAGGATGCCTTGTTCAAAAGAGTAGGGAAAAAGTGCCATACAAAGTACTAAAAAATGTTTTTCCTTTTCTTCCACGGTCTCTCTCAACTTGTCACAGTGTCTTTTATTTTTTATTTAATGTTGTTCTAATAAAGAAAAGTTAAAAATTTTCATTATCAACCTGAATTTTACCGTTTATCTCTATATTGTACAACGCTGGTTTAAATGCAAATGTAAGAGCATTCAACTTGTGGAATCACAGAGAAGTCCACCTAAGAAGTACACAGTTCATACTTCTCAGCTCATAAGTGCACATGCATTTTGTTCTCAAAAGAAGAGTGGAAACTGTTGCACAAAACTAACTCAATTCTTTTTTCACTTATGTCTACATGCACATCCTACCAACAGCCTCTACAATACTCCAGCTGACTGACGGATATGGAAGGACCAGAAGGAAAGGCATTGTGCGTTCCCCTGCATTTCCCTCTCCTTCCATGTCATCATCTTTGGTGTTAGTGGTTGGCTACTACCCGGAAGTTAGGTGAACAGGAAAGGACAAGGCAGGGTTGCTGGGTCGTCTGTGTTTCCTAGAACACCATTGCCCTCTTCCTGCATTCTGCATTCAAGCAAATTCTTGTCCAAATGGCAAATGTGACCTCTTAGAACTGTTAGCACCTCCCCTGCCCACTCAGAGACCTCACATGCTAACCGTGTCCTGGCTTTGAGTCCCCTGAAACTCCGTCTCCTCCACCATCACCACACCCTAGTGCAGGCTGCCGGCTTCCATCACCTGGCCCACTGAAATAATCCACTGACTAGTCTATCCACATCCCTTCTTGTTCTTGTTCCTGCAATCTGTTCTGCACACTGCAGCTAGAGTGGACTTCTCAATACCACATCTGACCATGTTGTCCCCAATTAAAAAAACCCTTTAATGCTTTGAGAATAAACACAAAACTCTTTAATATGACCTATAGACTCCTGCAAATTTTCCTCTCACAATTTTTTCCAGTTTCAGTTGGCAGCCTGCTCCGTAGGAGTGCTCTCCAATCCTCAACTCTGGCCTTGCAGCTCTTTGCTCCCTCCACTTCTTTGGGCCTTTTCCTCGAGATCTCCTCCCCACCTCTGTCCCAGCCCCTCCTTCACCTGAATTAAACTCCACTCATCCTTCAGATTAAAGCTCAAATATCCCTTCCTCAAGGAAGCCGTCTCTTATCTCTGACAAGTTCGAATCTTTCATAGAACCATCTACCTCTCTTTGGTAGCACTCATAACAGTTGTAATCTTATATTTACTTTTGTGGTTATTTGATTATCTATCTTTTCTAGTGTATAAATAAAGGGAAGAAACCCCTTTTCTACATATCTTTTTTTGTTTTCATAATGCTTATTGTAAGTGGTGATCCCTGATTCATTCGTGAGCTGCCAGAATAACGTGTCCTCCATACAAGACCATGTCTGTTTTGTTGACTGTTATTCCCCCAACCCTCCCTGCACCTAGAAGGTTTCCTGATACATAGAAGGAGCTTAACAATTAATTATTGAATGAATGATAGCTATGTTGATCAGATTTCAACTTGTAAATTCCAAAGAACTGATGATTTCAATGAAGGCCTAAGTATCATTGCAAACAGTTCTATTGTCCTGACGTCTGAACACTCCCTGCTTTATCCTTTGTCTTGCAGTTTTACTTTAGTCTCTTTCAAAATCTCCATCGCAGGATGGATGTCCATTTGAGGCGAGGAGTTTGAAGGATTCACATCTTGCTTTAGGTGCTATCAGCTGGTCTCTCTTCCTGGCCTCTCACCTATGGGTCCTGTCCTTTTCCGTCTATTGTTGATATAGTCCTTGCTGATATCCCCTCCTCCTGTTCTTTTTCAGCCAGCCTCAGAGTGTTTCCAACATCTGTTATGGTTTAGAGGGACTCTTGCTTGGAAATAGAAGTTCTTTCCAGGCCATGCTATAAATTTCTAGTAAAAGCAAATGAACGAATATATAGCGAAAAACATCATTTCACAAGGAAGTTGCCCTGGAAGTGGCTGCTGTAGTAAAAAGAGGCATTTGCCTGTTCTGTAGTCCCAGTAGCCTGATCACTCGGCCCCACTCAGGACTTCCCATCCCGTCGTGCGGTTTGCCTTCCGCCCTCTGCAGACCGTGTGCGTTACAGTATGTGCATTGGCACTTGTTACACAGCAAGTGCACACAGCTGGGGTTCTTGCTGTTCATCCAGTGCCAAGATCTTATTCCTCACAAGACCTTTTAACTGCTTTTGCAGCTAGTAACATCAGTGACTGGGAAATCAAACGTTCTATCTGGTGGTTTGTTAACTTACTGCGATTTTCCAGATGTTTTCTAGAGCTATTCCTCAGATGTTGATTTGTGGTGGTGTTGATACTTTCTTTCTATAGCATTTTATTATTTTTGAGCAGTGATGTTTAATTTAGTTAGGGGAAATGTCTTTTCCAAACTCTTGGCTTCTGATGACACACAGTTATTTTGTGCCTCGTGTTGATCCCACAAACTACAGTACTTGGCCCGATTATAGACACGACTAGACAGTAGGGGCTTTAGAAGAACCACTGCACCAGACTTTCCCTTCTGTGGAGGCTACAGATACACCGATAGATTACGGGTCCAGGGAATGTTAGGGCTGGGGGATTATTTACTCAGATCTCTTCTTTATTCACAAAACGTAACTGGAACTCATAGACGTTGTGATTTTGCCCTGGGCCACACAGCTAGTTGTTAGGAAAATCAGAGCAGGAACCCAGATCTTCAAGATACGTGGGAGAGGAAGGCTTTTTTCTATGCTTCTCACCTGGAGGCGCACACGTGGATTCACTTGCCCCCCTCGGTGGCCCAAGCGTGCAGTCACTGGCACGGAAGTCTCTGGCGCATTTTGAAGAAGAGGACAAACTCCTGCTGTCAGTCCGCAGGCACCATCTCTCTATCCCAGGGACCAGCCCGGTGGTGGGGCACGCTGCTGGTCCTCTCACAGGCTTGCACTGAGGTGTCACATGGGTGGAATGACTCCCGTGCAAAGCCATTTGATCAGGAACCATTTCTATTTCTCTGTCTCTGATCCCTCCTTTCTCCCCACCAGCTCTCTCCTGCCACACAGACCCACGAGGACCTCTTAAAGCTTTGAGATCATCTGCTTCTCCGTCAGCAGTGGCGGGGTGGGCAGTGGGGGAAGAATCAAGTTCAGTGTGTTGTGAGGCAGAAATGTTTTCAGCATTTGACAGCAGTTTATAAATAACTCCGGGTACATGTTGCTGACAATAGGAAGTATATGTGGGAAACGCCATCATAAAAAAATGTATTCTTTGAAAATGAAAGTTGACAGCATACAGTCCAAACGCCCAAAAGCTTAACAGGAATTCTCATAAAACTGCAGGTTGGCTTACATTACATTACAGCAGTTTTGAGCTTTGGATCTGGGCCGAAACCATCACCTTCTTTAGGTCTTCAGATAGATGCTTAAGAGCTACAGAAAAATACAGTTGACCAGCAAATCACTTTACGATTTGCTTGTAAGCTATAGACTGTCAACCTGGGGGTAACTGGTAAAGTAATCTGTCGTCTCTTTTTGTCTGTTTTAATTCGTGATCTTTCTCTGCAGCTACCCTTACAGGAGAAACTGAAACACAGCTGCTGCATTGTGAATCCACGCCGGGAAAGAAACGGTGTCCAGTGAATAATGAGAAGGCCCCAGAATGGCTCCTCTAACAATCCTGCTTCTTCCTTTACTGGAATCCTTCCTTGTGGGCTCAACAGCGACTCATGCATCGAGGGGAGTGGGACTTGGGACTCAAAGGCACAAAAGGGCAGAAAGGAGGCCACAACTCACTGCTGGGAACTGGACCAGACGAGTCAACAATGGCAAAGAAGTCCTGGAATATGAGCTTCAAAATCTCAGTCAAAACTCACCCCTAAGAGAATCTACCTGATGAATCTTATTTGATCGTGTCAGCTCTTTAACTACTGGTCATCCTTTCAGCATGTACGCATTTAGATTTGTTAGTGCCATTGTCCTGTAACATCTACCAACTCAGAGTACATTCATGGTCAGTAGACTGTGGCTGTTCAGTGGGTTCTTCTCCCCCTGGCGAGTGTGCAAGGCCAGAATTCACTGTACTACAGTGCAAGGACCTGCTTTTCCAAACGCCCAACCCCATTCCAGCCCCTCCACATTCTCGCCCTCTAGGCTTTCCATGCTGCTGCCTCTGGGATTTGGGTCCTCAATGCTTAATATGGCCTCTCTCTACTTTTGAGTTTGTTTTTCCTTCTAGCCACATTTTCCCCTTTCCTCTTTGTTGTGAAGCATCCACAGACAATCTCAGGGTAACAATGCCTTTCCATGCTTGGCCTCACCCTCAAGATTTACCAACCATAGCCTGCACTTGGGACAGCCACATTCCAGTGAGGTCCAGATATGGTTAAGAAGAGCTGGGGCTGGCCTGGTAGCGCAGCGGTTAAGTTCACACATTTCGCTTTGGTGGCCAGGGGTTTGCCGGTTTGGATCCCGGGTATGGCCCTACGCACCACCAGTCAAGTCATGCTGTGGCAGGTATCCCCACATATAAAGTAGAGGAAGATGGGCACACAGGTTAGCTCAGGGCCAGTCTTCTTCAGCAAAAAAAGGATGATTGGCGGCAGATGTTAGCTCAGGGCTAATCTCCCTGAAAAAAAAGAAGAGCTGGTAGTGAGTAGCATATTTGTAAGGACATTTTCTATTCAACATGGTTGAAGTAAAGAGAGTTTGGATATGTAAAGGGAGAGTGGGAGGGTGGGTACACTCACCTGTTCATGTTATGCAACTGTTCCAAAAAAAAATTCATTCCTCAAGTGTTCCAAAGGAATATAATCTGGTGGTATTGATATGTAGCTATATTATAATGTTCTATGTTCATTGGTTTGTGTATTCCATTTACCTATTACACTCTTAGCTTCATCAGGGCAGAGACTGAATTTTCATTTCTCTTATTTCCCTTGCTGAATAGGCACTCAGTTATTTAAGTGGTGAACTGACAGATCCACCAAACCAAGGCCTGCATGCCAGGAAGTGTGAGCTGTTGATCTGTGTATAGACATCACCAGCCTTTTGGAGGACAATTCCCGTGTATTGGAGACCTGGTAAATCACACTGTGTGGGCATTATTCCCTCCACCTCCCCACTCACCCTCAAAACATTGACATTTTTGTTAAGTGAAATTCTATTAAAATAAATATCAAGGAATGACTTTATCAAGGGAACCAAAACTGGGACCTTTAGGCAATAAAACAATAAAACTGGTGTGTGTGTGTGTGTGTGTGTGTGTGTGTTGGCACAAGGCTGGGGAAAAATGGCATCATCATGAAAAGGCAATACTTAGCCCAAGGGGGCCTGTGGAAGCAAGAGGGGTTGTGGCCGCCAGGCCCGTCACCCCTCGGTCTGGCAGTGGTTTGAGCTATTGGAAGGCGTCTAGCAGGAAACCTTCACAGTAGTCTTCACCTCTCTCTCTTGCGCTCTGTTCTGTCTCCCCTCTAGTTCACATCGTTATCGTCTTGGAGCTGGATTATTGTTAATAGTCTTCTGGTTTATTTTCCTGCCTCGAATCCATCCAATTCACCCTTGTCAGATTAATCTCCACAGAGCATCCGGCTGATTGTGACAATGGTGTAGTCTTAAGTGCTCAGTCACATTATTGGATTCCCTCTTTCCCTTGGTCCAGCATTCAACGTTACCCATGGTCTCACTCTAGTCTAGTTCCCACCCGATCTCTAGGACTCCCTTCTCGCATACTCGCTTCCTGTTGAGTGGGACTCTGCTCCCCTGACACCCTCACCACTGCTGCCTCCTGGCTGCTCCGCCCCTGGTTGTCCTTCACCGCAGTCTCGGATCTAAACCTTTCTCATCTCTCCAGGCCCAATTTCAAAGCTGCCTGGCCTGTAAATCTTCCCTGAGCGTCCCTCCAGAAGCGTCATCTGCCACCTCCATCTCCGCATAGCGTGTGGGGTTTCTATGTTTCTTGAGATCCTGACCACTCTCTGCCTTTGTCCTTCTTATTTGTGAACCTGAACTGAGGGCTTAAGTGCTCTGGATCAGACGGCCGGGACTTTAACCCCAGGTCTGGTCAATTATGTGAACTTGGTCATTAACCTTTTCACGTCTTGGGTTCTTCATTGATAAGTTGATAATAATCATAATTATCTCATAGGTTTTTTGATGAAGGTTAAATGAGATGATGAATGTAATACACTTAACTCAGTGCTTGACATACAGTAAGTGGTCAAAAAATTATATTATTGCATGTGTTAGTCTTTTAATTTCTTTTCTAGCCTCTAAATTCATTGAGAGTTAAATCTCTCTTTACAGCAGGCATCAGCAAACTTTTTCTGTAAAAGGCCAGACGCTCAGTATTTCAGGCTTTGTGGGGAGCATATGTCTCTGTTACATGTTGTGAAACAATAGGAAAATATGCATTGGTCTCTGCCCCCCGTTGCTGGCAGGTCAACTAAACTCTCGTAATTTCCTCAGTGATAGGAGCGCTAGGAGCGCCTTCTGTTCTAATATTTGGTCTTTGGCCTGGTTCCTGACACAGGGCTCCTGAAGCCCTTGTAATTTCCCGAGTGGCAGGAGTGTCTTGTGTTCTATTGAGGTGACTCTGGGTGGCCTCCTGGATGGAGCTGGTCACCACAAAGCCTAAGCCATGATTAGAAGCTTGGAATTTTCAGTCCTTACCCCCATTGTCCAGAGTGGGGAGAGGGGCTGGAAATGGAGTTAATAACTGACCAAGCCTACGTGGGGAAATCTCCGTAATATCCCGTTAGTATGGGTTTCTGATTGCTTTCAGGTTGGTGAACCCATCCACACCAGGAGGATGACACACCCCAACGCCATGGGCACAGAAACTCCTGTGCTTAGGACCCTCCCAGATCTCGCCTTGTGTCTTTCTTCATCTGGCTGGTCACCGGTATCCTTTACCATATCCTTTAACAAACTGGTAAATGTTAAGTAGAGTGTTTCCCTGAGTTCTGTGAGCCGCTCTAGCAAATTAATCTAATCCGAGTAGGGGGTCGTGGGGACCTCCGATTAGTAGCCAAGCTGGACAGAGGTTGTGGGTAACCTGGGACCTACTCCTTGAAGTTGGCATCTGAAGCTGGAGGCAGTCTCCTAGGACTGAGCCCTTCACCTGTGGGATCTGATGCCATCTCCAGGTAGATAGTCTCAGAATCGGGTTAAATCATGGGACACCCAGCTGGTGTCGGAGAATTACTTGGTGTGGCTCCCCCTGCCAACCCCGTCTGGTGTCAGAAATGTTGTGAGTCCATGGTAGTGTGAGAGTAAAGCAGACTCATAGGAGGAAAAAACTGAGTTTTTCTCAATACACGTATTCTTCCCACCCCCCTCTTTTTTTCTAAAAGAACTTTTGAAAATGTAAAAGTCATCCCTAGCTCACAGACTGTACAAAAATAGGCCACAGACTGGCTATAGTTGGCTGACCCCTGCTGGACCGTCCCCAGTGCCCAGATCAGTGCTTGGTGGATACAGAGGAACTGAGAAACATCGACTGATTAATGAGTGATTACACGACTGAGCGCTATCGGAGCGCCTCTGCTCTGTGTTTCCTTTTGCAAATGTCTCCACCGTGCTCCCTTCCACCCTGTACCATTCCAAGTCCTGAATCTTTGCAGCGTGCCTGATCCTAGGAACAAGCCAGTGAAGCCCCCAGAGCCAGAGCCAGGCTGAGTGGCGCCTTCGACACAGCCGTGCACGCTGGGTCGGGGGCTCATCTCTAATCTAATCTAGCAGAGGAGCTCTTCTCACCTGCAGTCGATGACGTTAAATGATTCTGGGGAGAAAAGTGGTGAGGGAGCGTTAGAACGATATTAAATAATCACCGCATTTAGATGGCAGCTATTTATGCGTCTCCATGAACGTGTGAAGTCCTTTCTCCCACGCTGGTTTTTATCGAAGGTCTGACAAATCCCGCCTGACTGTGGCAGAAGAAAGTGAGAATGTCGGGGCAAGCACAGCTTTGCTTCCTCACTAAATGCATTTTCATCTCAGCTCCTGGGAGAGCACACGTTATTTTCTCCTCGTGCCTCACGTTTATCACAGCGGCATCAATTACTTCTACAGAGCATCTTTCCAAAGACATACGGGAATGTAAGTGAGAATGAACGGGTTCACTCAGAGAATTCTTATTACTGGCAATTCAGGCACGTGCTCTGCTTCCCTTAAAAAGCCTATTTTTGAAAATAATATGACATACTAAATTTGAAGCATAGACTATGTGTGTGTTTTCACACATTTTAAATAATTCTCTCTTTAAATACTGAATAATTGTGAGGCTGATTATCATTCTTTATAATAGATGAATTCTATAAATTCACACGTTTGCTGACCAGAGCAAAAGTAAGAAATATAATCATCAGTAATATCCATACAGATTGCATTCCTTAGCAAATTTCATGCTTTGAAAGGTAGTGAACTGATTCTTCTCTGAGAAGTATAAAAATGTCCACTAGGTGTTGCTGCTGTACACTGAATTAGCCAAATGAGCCTGAAGAAACAAAGTAATAACAATTCCACCCACACGTTCGTTACCATGATTGTTCAGGCGATTATTATTGGGAAGACTAATAAGAAGATAAATGGAACATAACTTATTTCTATATAATTTTGAAGATGCTGTCATTTGCAACTTTTGTTTCACATATGGGAAGAAGAATGCCTTAGGAGAAAAGCTTAGAAGTCAATACTAACTTTTATTTTTTAATGAAACAATCAAAAGGAGTATATAAAAATAGACATTTTAGGTATTGCAAAAAAAATCAGAGATAAGGTTACATACATAGATTTTAGACAATGCTCTGCTTTCAACAATATTGAAAAACTTTTGGTTAATACAACAATTATTAATCTGGAAATTTGGTAAAATTCTGTAGCAATCAAAGTCTTGAAAGAGGGGCCGGCTCCATGGCCGAGTGGTTAAGTTCGCGCTCTGCTGCGGTGGCCCAGGGTTTGGATCCTGGGCGCTGACATGGCACCGCTCGTCAGGCCATGTTGAGGTGGCGTCCCACATCCCACAACTAGAAGGACCTGCAACTAAGATATACAACTGTGTACGGGGGGAGGGTTTGGGGAGATAAAGCAGAAAAAAAAAAAGATTGGCAACAGTTGTTAGCCCAGGTGCCAATCTTTAAAAAAAAATAGTCTTGAAAGAAAGAGAAAGCCTAAATTTTGATTCTGGTTCAAAATTCAAGCCCTAGTCCTTTTATTTCCAGGCTTATAGAGAAGCAATAGTTGCCAAAATATCAAACATAAACTGCAAATTTTATGAACCATGCTTTCATTTACCTTTTAGGATTGAGATGTGGGAAGTTCTGTGGTGTCTTTGGTTGTGACAACACCCAAGACTGGTCCAGGAAGGGGAGGCAGTAAGATCCTGCCTTCTGTTAGCCTAGTCACTACAGTTGTTATAGAAAGGTGAAGTTGAGACAACGTGGACTGTTTCCCTTTAACGTTAGTCTCCGTTTGTGTAACTGTGGGGAGGGGAGTCCTGCACCTTGCCCTCCTGAGCAGGAAGCCACAATGAAGAGCGTTACTGTTCCTCTGGCACTTCCCTCTTACGGAACAAATTTGCAAGGTCTGTGGCAGTGATTCATAGTTTAGGAAAGACACACCTTCCAGAAGCAAAGATGAAGAAAGAAGGATATTATATGTTTAGTCTTTGCTATTTTTACCCTTCTGGTTTTCTGTTAAATTGTGACTTACAATCTTTTGGTTATGGTGACCCATTAATTCACCAAACAGAAGCTCCATTTGAGTCAAAGACTCCTTTTTTAAGACTTGAGGGAAAATGATTCTGTATGTTCTTATGCTTTCCCTGTAGTATGTTCTGTCACTTCACGAATGCTCAAATTCTATCCAATAGACCTGGACTCATCTTGAATAAAATTTTAGAGTTTCACATGAATAGATAAACAGTGGTTAGTGTTTTCATTAAAAATGAATAGTCAGAAAGGCGAAATTAGTTTTGTCCCAGCTCTTGTTTATAATATGAACTGAAAATTACTATTGCACTTAAGTACTTTTAAGATTGAAGCTGAGCTTACTGGTGCTGAGATATTTGAACCTTTTGGTTGTGTCATATGGTAAGGACCTTGTGCTTTATAAAAATACCATTTATTTATTTTATTATATGTATTTTTTTGGTGAGGAAGATTGTCCCTGAGCTAACATCTGTGCCAATGTTCCTCTATTTTGTATGTGGGACGCCACCACAACATGGCTTGATGAGCAGTGTGTAGGTCCACACCTGGGATCCGAAACCATGAACCCTGGGCTGCCGAAGTGGAGTGCACAAATTTAACCACCATGCTGCTTGGCTGGTCCCCCCCCCCCTTTATATATTTAATTGTTCATAATTTCTTTCTTTTTTTTTAATAAAAATTTTATTGCTGTTCTATTGCATAGCTTAGTTTTTTATTTTATTTTTTTAATTTTTATTTTTTTTGGATGTACATCATATTTCAAATTCTGGATACATTACATCAAGTTCACCACCCGAACACTAATTATAGTGCATCCCCTCACATGTGACCCTAATCACCCCTTTTGCCCTCCCCCCTCCCCCCTTCCCCAATGGTAACCACCAGTCCAATCTCCAATGCTATGTGTTTTTTTTTTTTGTCGTTTTTATCTTCTACTTATGAGTGAGATCATATGGTATTTGACTTTCTCCCTCTGACTTATTTCACTCAGTGTAATACCCTCAAGGTCCATCCATGTTGTCACAAAGTGCATAATTTCTTTAGCATCTGCCTCTCCCACTGGACTACAAATACCCGAAGGACTGTTTTGTACAAACAGCATCTATACAAATAAGTGCTTAAATTTTTGTAGAATGAGCTAGCAGATGAATTAATAAACATAAATATTGCTGAATTAAACAAATGAAATATCAACCAAGGTTAAATTCAATCTTCGTTCAAAAAGAATTTGTGAGCTCTGAGTCAACGGGATATTCTTAAGGCTGAGTCCAGCAGTCCTTCAGTAGGAGAGGCAGTGAACATGCCTAGGGACTTACTATCTTGGTTGTTTCCTGAATTTTCCGGATTCTTAATACCTCTTCCAGAATACGGTTTTCAGCACCTTGTTTCTTGACTCTGCTGTTTCATGATGGTTAACCTAACGCTTGAACAACAGACAGCTGCGTAGTACTTCCTGGTTTCGTCTCTGGCCTCCAGTCACAAGGATATGCCAAGTCCATGAAAAGACCAGGTGATTTAATTAAAGTCAGTAAGCATTTGCTGCACACTTTCTTTTTCTCGGTTCTGTGCTATATTCTATACACCATGACGTTTTATTCCTTTGTGCCTTTTAATGGCAGCCTTTCTACCTTGAATGTTTTTCCTTCTCCTTCTGTGTAACCACTACTTGCTCTTTAAGACTCATCTCAGGCTTCGCCTACCTCATAAACCTTTCCTGAGCCATAAGGCTGGGGTCCCATAAGATACTATGCATAGCTCTATTAGAGAACTTAGTGCATTTTATTTCTGTACATATAAACACAATATTATGTAGCCATATGAGCTCCTCAAAGTAAAGAAATCAGAAGCAATCTGAAGAGAACCAGCTCTTATATCCATTATGAAATATGCTAACATACTGTATCTGCACCAAATACTCTGTCTTAGCTCCCGCACAACGGATGGCCTGCCGTTGAGCCATCCAAGGCCAATCCATCTGCTTGGGCTCTTCCCTTGCACTTGATTTATAGTTTGTCTAGCTATAGAATTCTAGTTTGGAACTAATTTTCTTTTACAATTTTGAAGGCATTGTTCCATTGTCCTTTTGTTTTCAGTGTTGCCGAGAAATTCAAACCATTCCTTTTTTTAAAACTCTATATTATTGAAGATGTTAAGTATCTACAAAAAGAGGCTAAACCATATACCTATCTCTCTGCTTCCACAAGTCTCAATTCAGAGCCAACCATCTTGCAACTGTAGTGCAGCCCCCACTTCCAATGATTTTGAATCAAAATCTAGACATCATGCTGTTTCACTTGTGAATATTCTGGATTTATTTCTAAAAGAGAAAAAGGATCATATTTCTGATTTTTTATATGTAGTTTGTTTTATTCCCTCAAAGTTTTTCAGAAATTACTTTTCTTCCGAGAGTTCTGAGAGTTTGCAGTGGTAAGTGTCTTGTGCCTGCTTCTCTGGGCCCTTTCTGTCTGTAAGCTCATGTTCTTTGGTTCCAAGAAATGTTCTTAAATTGTTTTGTTGATGTTTTCTTTCCTCGTTACTCAGATACTAGCCCTGAAATGGTGCTCTAACTTTCTTTTCTTTCTACTTTCATTTCTTTGACTTTTGTTCTACTTTCTGGGAGATTTCCCCAACTTTATCTTCCTATCCACCCATCAAAGTTTTCATTTCTGCTATTGTATTTTTAATAGAGCTCTTTTCTTAGAGCTCTTTTCTGTCCTCTGAATATTTCTTTTATATGGCATCCTGTTTTTGTTTCATGGATGCAACATATTCTGTCTGTTTTTCTTTTTGATAACTTAATGATAACATTTTGAAGTTTTTCTCCCCCCCCACAGTTGCTTGTTTTTTCTGTTTACTTATTTTGTTCTGTTGTCCTTGGAAGAGGTTGTCTTCACGGGGCTTGTGATCCCTGGCTCTCTGCTCGCGATTGAGAAAGAGTGAGACTAAAAGACTCACTTGCGCACCGAGCCTGTGGAAAGGACTGCTCAACTTTGAGCTTCAGTGACTCAGAATCTGGGTGGGCCTTCATAGCAGAGCCTCTTTAGGTCTTGCTCTCAGGCAGGTGACATTCTGTGGAAGAGATTTTCAGCTTCTTCTCTGGAGGGTAAATACCTGGCTGCCAGCATATGGGGGCAGTATTGGGGCAGAAGGCTGGGCATGTCTGCCTTCAGCACCCTCTAGACATGGGCTCACGGCATCCCGCCTCTGTTTTTCCTAGGCTGGAGGGAGGTACCTGGGATCTCACTGTCTCTCAGACAGCTTTTACCCACACCTCCTTATTTAGGAGCTCTTTTTCACACTCTCTTTCAGACTTTTCTAGTGTTGCCCATCTCTGATCCTCTTGAGGCTGTGGTACAAATTAGGTTGATTTTGAACTTTCCTTGCTGCCAGCTTGGGATTTGGGTTGCTTGGGGATGCTAACTCCGTTCTCACACACCCGTCTGCTTTCCCACTTCCAAAATTCGGTGGCTGTTCTTTCCTCTACTGTTTTCCCCACACTTGTAGATTTAAGTATTAAATGAAACTCTTTTATTATACTTTTGTGGGGTTTTGGGAGGGAGAAAATAGATGGAGGTGTTCACATCATCTTAACCTGGAAGAATCCTCCCGCCCCCTTTTTTAAACCTTAAAATCCCAGAGCCGTTGTTTAATATAAAGGTGAATCCTGTTTCTTGTGGTGGACTTATCCTAGGATTTCTGGTCACCAGAGCACACATAAGCCTCTGAACTTCTTGGATTTGGAGTGACCCGGGGCAGCTACTAGCAGGGTGTGGTCATACCGAATGAGGATGTCTTTGATCTCCTTCGTGAAGTGTCATCCATGTATTTCTGGTAATAGGCCACCAGTTTTTTGCAGATGGACTGGTGGATTGTGTAGATCTGGCTGTGTCACCACCACTCTTCACACAGCATGGAGGTCACGCGGGGGGGCCTGTTCTTTGTGTCAGAGTGGAACGGTTCCAGGAGCTTGTATTTCAGTACACTGCTCCATCATCGCCAGGGCTCGCCTGCTCACTTGTGGAGGCACTTGGCCCGTTTGTGGTCCGCCAAGGCCATAGCCATCTCCTTGCGCCCCAAGACCCACATGGACTGCAGCTAGCCCTTGGATAGCACGGCTGCAAATGTAGACAAGGACTCCTTAACGTGTGGCTCGGCAACTGGAGAAGGAAGAGCCTCAGCTTGAAAATGCCTCTTAGCTTGAATTCTGGATAGCACACTTGCCTGTTTTTGTTT